TATTAATTTATTGTAATTAATTATTTGCATACAATTAAAAACTAATTTTAAACGATGCCAAAGAAGGATAACTTCTCACGCGCCTACATAAGTACACGCACCCATTTTTTTTATATGGCTTTTGAAGGCAGACGAGCGGACGGGCCACCTAAAGTTAAGTGGTCACCGTCGCCCATGGACATCAGTCATGCCAGTGACGGACATACCGCTGCCTTTCGTACAACACTCTCTTTAATATGAAAAAATATATAATGTAGCATGAAATTAATTGGGCCAGTAAGTAAATCACCTACTTACAAAATAAAAACTATTATTTTTGCTTAGAACCTCAATTTGCTACAATTTATAACAAAAGATAAATTTAACGGATGGGACTGACTAATACTTACGCCTACAAACAACCTTGTCGACGGTACATGATCTCTAATTAAAGTTGGAAAGATACGATTACAATGTTCGTCGATCGACCGAATCGGTGTCGGTCTAAGGCCGTATACAGAAAGAAAGCCGAAAGCCAATCGGCGCTTATCGGCGCCGATCCTTCCTACATAAAGGAAGCCGATTAAAGCAGATCAAGCAAAATGTCGGACTCATCGGACGATGATCTGGTTTTGTTAGAAAATGTGTATTTAAAAATGCGAAAAAGGAAACGTTTCGGAGAATACCGTCATTTATTTGTAAAAAAATTTAAATTTGATGAACAAAGATTTTATACATATACAAGAATGATTCAAGAAACATTTTATTACATTTTGGATTTAGTGAAAAACCGTTTGATGAAAAATTGGTGCAATTGGCATAAACAACCAATCCTTCCAGAAGAAAGACTTGTTGTCACCATTCGGTAAGTACGAAACAAATAATTTTAGCGCTTAGTTAATAAAAGATAAAGTTATTAGATTTATAAAAAGATTATAACTTCGATTGATTTAATCTAAGGATAATAATTCAAATACAAATTATTTATTATTCGGACCAGCGCGTGTCGGCGCTTATCGGCGCTTATCGGTGCCGATAGGCGCCGATCAGCGCCGATCGGCGCCGGTCCATAGAAAATGGATCAGCGCCAATAGGCGCCGATAAGCGCTAAGCGATCGGCTTTCGGCTTTCTTTCTGTATACGGCCTAAGGGTGCGGCCAGAGTGCACTCAGATTCAGATTCAGATTTCGAAAACAAGCGCGAGAAATAAACACTGTAATCGAAGGGTACGGCCAGAGTGCACTCCTGATTCAGATTCAGATTCAGACTCAGAAAACAAAGCGCGAGAAAAAGCAGGCAACCTGCTTAGACTACGTGATTTTTAAAGTTTTCCAGCGATGTTTCGTAGACTACCAAGCTGGACGAATTTTGTGGGAATTGGATGATGTTTATGGGCGAACAGCATCTATGACGGTTATCTAATCGTGTAACTACACACATCAAAAGTGTCTAGGGATCAAGCATTTTTATGCGGATTTCTTGAGATTGAGATGTGGCTTTGTAATAAATTTATGATTTTATAAATTTATATGGATCCTTTTTGGTGCATTTCATAATTTGAATCAGGAACTGTGAATCAAATTCGAGTAAAAGATGAAAATCAGCTGTCAATATTTTCCCTATAAAAACATACAACGCATTGAAGACATTATTAGTGCTACTGTTTCCCTACTACTGATTAAAACCAACGTTATTATGGAGCGGCGACGTCATTTAAGCAGGGAAGAAATGCTCAGAGCCGTGGGAATGATAGAAGCTGGTTCCCGGCAACGTACTGTGGCTTTAGCTCTGAATACAAGTCAGAGTGTTATCAGTCGACTTTGGACACGATACCGAAGCACTGGTACCGTGGCTGAGCGCCATGGAGGACGGTATCGCTGCACCACACGGAGACAAGACCGATACATTCAAATCTTAACTCGAAGAGCTCCAACAATAACCGCCATGATGTTAGCCGTGAGGCTTCATCACTCTTCAGGGAACTTAATTAGCGACCAAACAGTCAGAAACCGCTTGCATGAAGTGAACCTTCATTCCCGAAGACCGCTACGGGTACCACCTATAGCAATGCACAATCGTAGGATTCTCTTGAACACAGAAATTGGGCAGAAGAACAATGGCGTTTCGTGTGCTTTTCTGATGAGTCTCGTTTTGGTATGAGACCGGATACAAGACGTATACGACACTGGAGAACCCCTGGACGTCAACAGCGATTAAAATCCTGCCAGGAAGTCCATCCTTATAGTGGTGGAACCATCATGGTATGGGCGGGTATTTGGATCGGCGGAAGAACTGAGTTGATTTGGATCAGAGGCAACCTCAACGCTCAAATTTATGCTGAGACGATTGTATCAGACGTCATCGTTCCTCTACAAGTGCAAATCGGTCCCTTATTTCAGTTAATGCATGATAATGCACGACCGCACACCGCAAGAGTTGTAAGACAGACTCTCGCCGCAGCTAACATCAATGTCCTGCCCTGGCCTGCTCAGTCGCCAGACTTGAACCCGATTGAGCATGCATGGGATATGCTACAGAGAAGAGCTCTGCCGAATATGGAGGGTATCCAGTCGCAAGAAGACCTTTTTTTGTTGTTGCAACGAACATGGGCGGCCATTCCACAGCGTGATTTGGATGAACTCATTTTGAGTATGCCAAACCGATGTTCTTGTGTTGTTAGTGTTCGCGGTAGAAATACGGATTATTAATTGTTTAAGTTACCCAATAAAATTTTAGATAGTGGTTCAAATGTCAAAAATCCCTTTATTAGGAAAATGGCAAATTTCTTTATTAATGCAAAGGTGACTTGGTTTATCGTTACTGTGACAAACGAAAACACTTTATTTGATGAATCCTTAAAGAAAATTTTAATTAATATCAATCAGGAGAAAAGTTATTGCAAAAATATATGTTGATCCCTAGACACTTTTGATGTGTGTATTTGTTTGTAATCTGCCTGAAGTTACAAATTTACTCAATTTACGATTTTGAGACCAAAAAAGGCATTGTTTACATTGCACATTTTTAGGTTACATTGACATTGTAAATAGGTGATATTGTAGTACGACCATTTCTTTTGATACGTTATTATGGTTCAACTCGGTCAGGTTTTCTACCAATTTTGAATTAATTGCTTCATGTCAATAAGTTATTGTTTCTATTCCGTTACATATATTTTTTACTTTTTTTTCAGGAAAATCAGAGAGTCGGATAGTCAACGAAGGTTTTAAGAATGATGGAAAGTTTGAAACTCCTGGGAAAACAGGCAAGGCCGACCAAAGAAAGACATGGTCACATAAAGAACCATGGCCAGATGCTTTTAGTGAAGATACCTATCACTAATTTTACTAACTGCACATTTACAAATTGTTTCTCTAAATAAACTTTTATATACTATAAAATGATTTTTAGTATTATTTTCTTAACAAGTGTGTCAAAAAACGTCGTATGATGATCTGGTCTCAATGGCACCTCAGCGGTAATCACCAACATTACACACTTTTACACTATAAAGTACTATTTTATCTATAATAATTTTATTCTGATTCAATAGGCTAGTTGACCCTTTTTGGAATAAGGTTTAAAATGGTTAATAAATGTTCTATTAAACCGAAAAAAAATGTATTGTATTTTTTTGAGACCTAGAAAGCTACAAATCTTTAATTTTAAAATAGAATTTTCATGGACATACAAAAACGCTGTCGGCCATTTTAGTCTATAGATTGTCTATGCTATGATGTCAACTGTAGTAAACAAAAACTCGTAAGCACGTAGAAAATAACTTATCTGAGTTTATAATGAAAAGAACATGATTTCTAATAAATACCACGAAAAATAAAGTAATTATCATTATTGTAAAGTACGAGAATATAAAAACACATCCTTGAAGACTCCAGGAATGTTGTGGATTAAAGTGCCGAAAGAAATTAACCTACGCAACTTTATTACACTTAATTCATATGTTGTATCAGTATTATGTTTATTACTACATTGTAATACTAAATGCACTTTACTTACATAGATGCCTTGTCGTTTCTCTGCTCCGCAGAGCAGAAATCGGGGTTCAGTGCAAAAAATTCACCAACCATCAATGCGTCAATTCTTGGCAGATTTGTGCTTTCTGCTTTCACAAAGCCGGCATCCATAATTAGTTTTGTCAAAAAAATTAGTAAACGGAAACTTTTTTAAAGTTAAAAGTGTTTTAAGAAAAATTTATTCAGACTAAAGAATCCACCCATAACAACACGCGAATGACATTTAGTTGTTTACTGAAAGAGACGTCACAATCATGGCGGATGTAGCGAACAGCGTTTTTAGTGTTTAAAAAATATAGACTAAAAAATATTTTTTAAAATTAAATTTCTACAGCAATCTTCTGCTTTTATGAAGTGAAATCGATATATTTAGGTTCCTTAGACCAAATACTGTAAGAAATAAACATTTATTTAATACAATTCGACATGAGTCAACTAGCCTATTAAATATGCTTGGCTAATTTTTTTATAAGCATAAGTACCTACTATATATAAAACAGAAACAAAATACGACTGTATAGTGTCTTATTAATTACCTATTTTACTTAAATGAACTACTAGTATCAAAATCATTTTGGTCCGACTGTATAGGGTTGCTACATGCATACTAGTGGCACTTTATAGACAAACTGTAGTTTTAAGTTTAGGGAATCACGCCAGAATCGACACCTAAAATTATTTAAAAAGTATATACCTCAAGGTACAAAATTGTGCAGGTACAAAAACATCAGATTAAATTATATTTTGATTGAAGCTTAAATTAACATTTTTTTTTGTTACAATGCGATTGGTTTTTTTTAGGAAACGTATCATTTAAGGTAAATTTCAAAATCAGTTTCATCAATAAATTGTCAATCAATCATAAATATTGTAGGTGGCCCCTGGCCACAGCCCCTGGCATGTGGTGATGTTGGTAGGCTCAAAAGGGCATGATCCAAAGTCGTAAAAATCTATTTAAAAATTATGTTAGTTGGTGTTTGGTGTTGGCAATACTTCCGGTTTCACTTTTTCAATGGCGATTCGCATGGAGCGTGTTATTTCTTTTATTTTTTTAGTTTGATTACTAATATTCTTCTTGTAAACCAACTTTAACCTATTGAAAAAGAAAACAAAGTAAGTTTTTGATATATTTGCTTGCTAAATTTCTGTTTTATTTCTATTCGCAATTCAGTTTGTATTCTACATAGCGTTCAAAATATTATTGCGTCTACGAGTTAACTTGTTTTTATGATTTCTCCCTCGGTCGAAAGAAAATTTTAATTTATTTATGTACGTATGGAATACCCTATAAACAAAAAAATATAATAAGTTCCAAACTGTCTGGATAATCTTAAGAAATTTTCGTAAACGAGACATTATTGGGAAATGGCTGCCATGTTTTGCTGACCTCTAAATTTTTAAAATTTCAACGTCCTTTAATTTTTTTACATGTATGAGCTCAGAATGAAACCTATTGTATTTTTTTATATTAATTATCTGTTATCTTTCATTTTTTCGACTTTCAGTAATGTCTGAAGGAGGTCAAGGAGGAAGAGGACGAGCGCGTGGCCGTGCTGGACGAGGCGCGGACGGTAGTGGGCCAGGACCCCGCAGGCCGGGGGAGCAACCTGGCCCGTCGCAGCAGCAGGGTCCACGGCCTCAGCCGCCGTCAGCCTGGGGGCCTCCAACTGTAGCGCCGCCGGTCCGAGCTGGAGTCCCAACACCCACTGTCCAAGCTGGTCGAGCTTCGCATCGTACAACACCTACGACCCGCGACCATCCCGGAGATGTCGATATCCAACAGCGGATGCAAAAAATTGATATCGGTGAGATTCAATTTTTATTTTTTTCAGAATTCACAAATTTTTAAGGGGATCCTCTCATAGAGAAAACCTAATTCAAATCAATTCAAAATCATAACTAGGCTATATGTCAAGAGCTTTTTTTGCTATCCATGGTATCAGCAGATATAGGTAGTGGCAGCTGCAAACTGAACAAAACTACAGACAACTAAACTTCCACAGTAGATATGTTTAAATATAAAACTGCTACTACATAGGTTCCTTTCTCTGTAGTAAATACTAAAAAGTATAATATTGTCACCATCACCAAAAAGCTGCAGATTTTTTTTTCTTCGAAGTCAAAACTTCTTTAGTATTGTTATGACTTAAGATTCAATGAAATGCAAGTTGATTATTTGACACAAGATAGGTATTCGTAATTTTATCATTTACTATAAAAGACAAAATAACTGAACACAATCAGTCTCTTATGGTCGAGACAAGTGGTCCGTGGTTTGAAAAGTGAGTTTGGATGTTAGTTTTAATTTCTTTTTTTTTTTACTAAATAAAGCTATTATTTATTTCTGGAAACAATTTAAGTACCGAATATGTACTTTTGCCCAGTATTTTACAATATGTCACTGTATTATTAAACATTTGGTAGATGCCTAACTTGTTTATTAATATGGCGCTAGTTTTTATCAACAATCATTATACCATTCCAATGTTTGCAATTTTTTTACAGTATTTTTTTATAAATTAATCATGGAAATAAAAAACAGAGAACATCTTTATATATCATCCTGAGACCCCCGGTATCACCAGTGATACCTTTACTTTTATTTTTTTTTTAACGCTGTCTTTCGAAATACTCAAGTAGATCGAAGTTTAACAGTGAGTGTAGGGTTTTGTTTATTGTTTCCAACACAGGTCATTTGCTAGGTGTTAAAATTAAAATTATTTGCGGCCAGTGCAAGATTGAAAATTGTGCATGAACCGACATGGCGAAATCACGTAAAGGTAAATATTAGTTTTTGTTCAAAACTTTGTGTTTTTTTGTTTAAATGTTATAAAATATATTGTAAATTTGCCATTAGTGAAAATATTTTGTAGAAAAGTGTGATTATTTTGAATAAATTTTGAGTTTTACTGCAAGTATCATACCTTGGGCAATCAGTACTATTTTTGGAATATTTTTAAGATCTGCTGTCTGATCGAGAAATAAAACAGATGATCAATTTCTACGAGTCAGATATAGAAAAGGAAGACAATGATAAAGAAATAGACCTTGAAGAATGCCGAGAGGTGTCCAACCAGGAAATTTCACTCGCAAATGAAGAGGAATGGAATGATTCGGAAGATGAACCTCTTTCATTATTACGCACACTTCCTCAATCCTTTAGGAACTTGAGTTTACGATGGAAACACACGGGAAACTTTGATTTTATTCCATACGAGGAATTGGAAATATCATTCGACCCTAGCATCATTGTCAAGAGTTCTCTAGATTACTTTTCTCATTATATAGAATAACCGTTTGTTTGAAATTATGGCTAATTGTACAAAGGTTTGTAGTGTATCAAGAACGGGCAAATTTCTGAATACAACGCCTGAGGAACGTAGACAGTTCTTCGGAAGTTCAATGGCCATGATTGTTCTTGGTTTGCCATGAATAAGAATGTATTGGGCCTAAGAAATAAAATTCTACTACATAGCTAACAATTACTCGTAATCGAAATTTTCAATTAAGATCGAATTTAAAGCTTGTAAGCTGAATTAGTTTAACAACATATCAGACAAAATGACAAGTTTTGGAAAAAACGTCCTATTGTATCTGTTATAGAAAAGGGTTGGCGTGAAAATAAAAGACATACTTGTGTTGCTATTGATGAGCAAATAATCCCCTTCACTGGTAAATGTAAACAAAAACAGAACCCAGAAGGCATAAAAGTGTTTCTAATGGCAAATTCCAATGGTATCCACTTGATTTATACTTATATCAGGGTAAGGGTACAACAATAGAATCGGCACTGTATCCAACACCTGAAAAACTTGATCTTGGAGGACGTATTGCGCTCAAACTTGTGGATACTTTGCCTCCAGGTTCTATAATTTTTATAGATTGTTACCTAACACCTATTTCACTTCTTGGCAATCTATTGGAAAGAAACATAAAGGCAACAGGAAAAATAATGAAAAATCGAGTACCTGAATATCAACAGCTCAATACAAAGCAAAATAAGTGAGTATTGTTCAAATCAGATGCTATGTTACAAAAAGCTAGAAGAGGCAATTTCGATTACGTTGTAAGGGATGACAGTAAGATAGCTGTAGTAAAGTGGTTAGATAATAAACCAATTTTTGTTATATTAACTGATTTTCATTTCAAATCTCTGTCGTTTTTCAACGTGAATTCAAATTAAAAATAATAAGAGGAACAATTTTGTTTTAAGCTGATGCAAACCCAAGGTATCAATCGTGATAACCCTTACGTTAATTGGGGAGGGGGTGGATTTTTTTTTTGTATTTTAATAACAACTAGCGACACCTTGCTTTAAAAAGTAGCAATTGTAAAATGTGGGTTGAATACTTTAGTCTTGGGTCTCAGGAGGATATATAAATCTTCTGTGAGTGTGTATGTCACTGAACTTCTCTTAAACGACTGGACCGATTTTGATGAAATTTTTTGTGTGTGTTCAAGGGGATCTGAGAATGGTTTAGATTCACAATTTTGCCCGCTGGACAACCCCTATTTTTTTAGGGCGGTACGAAGTTCGCTGGGTCAGCTAGTAAGATATAAAATTAAAAATAGCTGGTAACAAATAAAGCGGCTAGGCAATCAAATCTTCATCCCGATATAACTGTTGTGTGTCTTTTATAAATCAATAAAGAAATCAAATTAAAGTTTGCACTATTATCTGTCGAAACTGGTTTACCTTAATATGAATTCTCCATACAAAACTGGGGTGTGTCTTTTATACACAGAAAAAGGAAAATCAATTTAAATTATGGCGTGATGTTCAACAGTATTAGTTGTTATTAACACCTAAAATAAAACGATTTGAAAATTTACTGTGTTTGATATGGCCATCTATTTGGTTAGAACTAAAGGACAATGGGCAAAATACACCCAGCTCCGCCAACAATGTAATTAGTATGAATCAATAGATCTGAAAAACTAACCTTTTTTGTTATGACTACGAAAATAAATATCCTGGGAGTCAAAAGATATGACACCGTTAAAAATATCTTGGTAGTCAACAGATACTACATATGGGCATATTTAAGTAGCTGAATAAATTCATTTTATTGTACCTTCATTTTATATTATTAGTAATCATAATAATATGCCATATCGTACTATACAACCAGATATACGACAAAGCCGGCCGACCATCCTGCGCTTGCTCTTACTGAGACATTTCTAAACGGTTTACGAGTGCTGAAAGACTTGCAGTTAAAATACAAATAGGCAACTCATCTTACTTCATTGTTATTGTGCGCTCCCTACTACTTGATTGATTTTTATCTAACACGCTTTGGATATTAGAACACGATTATCGGTTTTGTCAATTAGTATGGATGAACTGGAATCATGTGTTCTCCGAAGCGTGGGCATGTTTGTGTAATCTGTGGTCGCTCCGTTTAACATAGAAGACAATTTACTATAGCGAACAGAATGTTTAAAAAAAACACAACCTATGCAGGGATTTTTGGATTTACTCTAGCGCGGCAGAATAACTTATGGGGGCACCCTTGCACCTTGTGAATGTAGGTATATATATGGGTATGTAGGGTCGAAATAATTAACTAAATTAATTCTCTTGTTTCATTAGTGTTCGTTCATTAGAGTACTTGTACATATTTAACTTAAAATAACTAAAGACAGCACAGATGATCTTGTCTATAATACCTTTCAAAAAAATGTAGGTTAAGCTCTGGCGGACGTGGGTGCAGTCTCCATACATTTTTGCCCAATGTCCTTTACTGTGTGTTTATTTCAACTAGATGGTGCTAACATACACAGTTTTAAAAAAAATGTTTTAGTAGAAAATCTGAATAGTTAAGTGTTTAACATTTGGTAGGTACTTACTGCAGTAGTTAATTTTTACATGGCTCTGGTTTTTAGTTAATCAACTCTTACCTTCCCAATGTTAGCATATTTTGTCACAGTAATTTTTTGTGTATAAATATTTCGAAAAAATACCTAAGATAAAGAAAATTCCCATACAACAAACATGACTGACTTATCAACGCCCAGCCGAAGTCTTTGACGTCTGTTAAGCTAGCATGGCAAAGTGAGCAGAATCGTTTAAAATAAAGCGCATCAATTAGTGCTTATTTAGTGCTAATTTAGTGCCAAAACCGGAAATTTAATGCTCTCATAGTTTAGCAAAAAAGTATTCCCTGAAACGCCTATATGAACGCGGTATAGAACTAAAGCAATGTATAGGGAATTTAGTGCTTAATGAGTGCTGGCAGTATCTGATGAAAATTTTGGAAAATAAAAAATATTTTATTTTTTATCAATAAAAACTGCTAGTATGAGATTCTGAGCAAGTGACCGGTTCGAATACATCACTCTGGATCGAAGATCTATGATAATCAACGGTTAATAATTTAGTGCTCAATGAGTGCTGCCAGTATGTGATAAAAAATTAGGAAATTTTATTTTTTTAAATTTTTTATTAATAAAAACTGCTAGTTTGACAAGTCTGAGCAAGTGACAGGGTTGAATACATCACTCTGGATCGAAAATCTATGACTATCAACGGTTAATAATTTAGTGCTCAATGAGTGCTGATAGTATGTGATAAAACATTTGGATTTTTTTATTTTTCATTAATAAAAACTGCTAGTTTGACAGTCTGAGCAAGTGACAGGGTTGAATACATCACTCTGGATAAAAGATCTATGATAATCAACGGTTAATAATTTAGTGCTCAATGAGTGCTGCCAGTATGTGATAAAAAAATTAGGATTTTTTTTAAATTTTTTATCAAAATAAACTGCTAGTATGACAGTCTGAGCAAGTGACCGGTTCG